CTTGAAGATCGGTACTAAAGTACTTCTCCTCCATTCATCAGGCATCTTGTTTGACCGGAAAATGAGGTTAAAAAGTTTAGTTAGCCATGCTAACGCTCTGGCGCCCAAGCATCTCCACACCTCAATGGGGATACTATCAGGGCCCATTTCTTTACCTCCCTTCATCCTCTTCATAACCTCTCCGATCTCTGCCTCTCGAATTCTTCTCACCACGCGTCTATTGGTATCCTCAAATGAGTCATCCAACGCCAGCGTAGGGCCCTCACTCTCCCCATTAAACAATTTGTCGAAGTACTCTCGCCATCTGTCCTTGATCTCCCCATCCTTCACCAGTGGCCGATCCGACCCATCCTTAATGCATTTGATTTGGTCGATGTCCCTTGTCTTCCTCTCTCGAATCTTAGCCATCCTATAAATGTCCTTCTCCCCCTCCTTCGTGCCTAGGCGCTGATAAAGGTCATCATAGGCCTGACCCTTCGCTACACTCACGGCACGCTTTGCATCCCTTCTCGCTATTTTATAGCTCTCAATGTTGGTTGCACTCTTGTCAAGATGGAGGCGCTTGAAACACTCCTTCTTCTCCTGAATAGCCTTTTACACCTTGTCATTCCACCACCAAGAGTCCTTCGCTTCCTGCTTGCCTCTCCTACTCACACCAAGGACTTCTGCAGCCACCTTCCGTACACATGTTGTCATCTTTAGCCACATGTCCTCTGCATCTTCTCCTTCTTCCCAAGGCCCCTCACCTAGCATTCTATCCCTAAACGTCTGCGCCGCTTCCCTTTAAGCTTCCACCACTTCGTTTCACGGTCTTGGCACATTTGTTCCGGTGGACACGTGTTCGGAATCGAAAATCCGCCACCACCAGCTTATGCTGGGGGACAACACACTCCCCAGGTATCACCTTACAATCGACGCAAGCGCTTCTATCCTCCCTCCTTGCAAGGATAAAGTCGATCTGACTTGAGTGTCGTCCACTATGGAAGGTCACCAGGTGAGATTCCCTCTTCCTAATGAGGGTGTTCGCTATCAACAAGTCGTAGGCCATCGCAAAGTCCAACACACCCTCCCCCTCTTCGTCCCTACTACCATACCCAAACCCTCCGTGCACTCTCTCGAAACCTACCTTAGTCGCACCCACATGATCGTTTAGGTCCCCTCCTACAAAGAGCTTCTCGCTGGCAGGCACCATACTAACCAAGGCATCTAGGTCCTCCCAGAATTGCCTCTTTGCACTCTCACTAAGACCTACCTGAGGGGCATAGGCACTGATCACATTCATGGTCAAATCTCCAACTACCAATCGGACTAGGATAATCCGGTCGCCTTGCCTTCTAACATCGAAAACTCCATCCTTAAGGCTCCTATCGATCAAGATGCCTACACCATTCCTACTCGATGAAGCCCCAGTGAACCAAAGCTTGAAGTCAGTATCCTCCACCTCCTTCGCCTTCTGTCCCTCCCATTTTGTCTCCTAGACGCATAGGATATTTACACGCCTCCTAGTAGCTGCATCGACTAGCTCACGTAGTTTACCCGTTAGGGACCCTACATTCCAGCTACCTATACGGACCCTAGTTGGTTCGACTAGCTTCCTTGCCCTTCGCACCCGTCGAGAGAGATGCGAAGACCCTTGCTCATTTTCCACTACACCCGGGCGCCGATGTAGCGCGCCACTAAGGAAATGACGACCTGGTCCTTGCTCACTTAACACCATGCCCAAACCACGACATGGCGCGTCCCCAAGGGGGAGACGACCCGGCCCTTGCCCATTTGACACCATACCCGGGTTCCGATATAGCGCGTCGCTAAGAGGGTTACGCCCCAACGAATTTCTCATGTGTTTCATCTCCATAGAACGACTAGGTTCTACGTTGGCTCGCCAAGCCTATCACAACTCCTTTACCAGGGTTTGGGACCTGCTATGTTGAGACAACATAGGCGGAGTTAAAGTGCTTCACCTTCCCCATCACTTTCAAAAAAACATTGCCAGATAAAGTGCTTCACCTTCCCCATCACTTTCAGATCCCAACACCTCCTTCTAGCATTCTTATTGCCCGGCCCCTGCCAATGCACTGCTTTCAGCCACTGGTCTCAGACACAGCTTCTCAGAGAGTAACTTCAAGTTAAGATTTTTTAACAGAAAATTTCCCTTTGACCATGAAAGAGCATTGCCACTGATCAACTATTCTGGGACTCAGAGATTTTATCTGTAGGATTTTAGCAGCATCATCCACAGTAAAAAGAGCTCTGATTAAGTTGGTGTCCCATTGCACCCCACCTGCAGGCAGAAGGTCCTTAACCCAGAATAGACTCCAATCAATCTCAGTTCTCAACTCAGGTTTCCTGAATTTCAGCCCTGGCAACCAATTGACATCATTCAACTTAGTGTTCTGCCCATTTTTAATAACAATGTTCACCTGTTGCTACAAAACAGGCAGGAAAGAAGCCCATGAATTTCAGAGCCAAGATGCACCCTCAGTATTTTTCCACTCAAATATGGAGCAGTCTTTAAAATATTTGCTCTTTAGGACCCTGCACATAAGCACATCAGGCTGTTCTATGAGTCTCCACAGTTGTTTCAAAATCAAGGCATTATTGAACAATTTGAGATCCATAAACCCAAACCCCCCTTCACCCTTAGGCACTGCCATTTTGTCCCAAGATAGCCAATGTAAACTCTGCTTCTGCTTCTCCCCCTTATTCCACCAAATATTTGCCACAAGCCTGCACACTTCTTTACAAAAAATAACAAATAATACAATGCAGGACATGACAAACACTGGCAGTGCATAAAGAACAGATTTGACCAATGTTTCCTTACCTGCAGTTCAGATGAAAGCATTTTTCCAGCTACAAATCCTACATCTCACAGACTCCAGAACAAACTGAAAAGTCTGAACTTTAGAAGCACCAATACCTGGTGGATGACCTCTTCACCACCACACCTTGAAGAATAGAAGAAATCCTAGCCTTCAGGTCCTCAGAGCCATTCATGCTCAAGAAAAGAGAAGATTTGTGCAAGTTTACTTTCTGACCTGTAAACATCTGGTATTTGTGAAGGATATCTAGAAGTAAACCTGCATGTGCTTCATCTGCTTTACAAAATATATATAAGAGCATCATCAGCAAACAGTAGATGAGACAGCATATAGCCATCCCTAGATACTTTGATCCCCTGAACAAGCCAGAACTGATCTTATGTTGCAGATAAGAAGAGAAGATTTCAGATACCAATAAATGTGTGTATCATTATGTTAAATGTTTTTGTTTTTTTTTTTAATTATTGTAATACAATTCCAAAATAAATTCATCAGTCTCACAAATTAATTATATCCAATTGCAATTATTACTCCTTTAAAAATTAGGTAAATTTTAATTTTCATATGTTTTTTTTTTCCTTTATAATTTTCATATGTTAAAGATCAGATTTTGTGATTAATAAATCGCTACCAAAGGAACATCCTCACCGCAAGCCTAACAGAAAACAAAAATGGAAGCAATTTTATAATAATCATTCCACATTTTCACCACAATTTTTCTACTCTCCAACTCCACAGGACCACAACTATAACCAACCCTCAAACAAAGGCTCAACCAAACTAAAGAAAAGGTTAACTCATCTTCAAAATGCAATCAAAGAAAAGAAAATCTTTAACCAGCCCTCAAACAAGGCTCAACCAAACTAAAGAAAAGGTTAATTCTTTACTCTAAAAATCAGTTCTTTATGCTGATTTGTGCCCAACATTTGATTTTTATACCTCCCAATATACTTTAATATGATATTGAGCTCTTAAAAATGAAAATCTACAGAGTATGTTATGAATGTTTAAGAAAATGCAACTTACAGATGATGATCAAGTATATATGTAATAAAATGAAAAATTTAAATCCAAGGTGTAAAAAATCAAACAAGAAGAAAAGTCACTTACAAAGTATGCCCTGGACGTCTGGAGCGGTCGAAAATCTGCCGGAGTATGATTTTGTTTTGCCGATGATAAATTCGTGAATGAGAGCGGCGGCGGGGACATGAGAAATGAGGGAGATGGGAATGTGAATTTTGCCTTTGTTCGGGAGGTAGGGACAAAACGCAGATTTTGAACTGTTTGAGAGTTTAGGATTGCTTGGAAGTGCCAAATTCAACCTTTGTTCCAACTAGTGCTGTTAAATTAAACGAGTTTGGCTCGACTCGTGTTGAGTTTGACTCATTAAGGCTCGTGTTCGGCTCGAGGTTGAGGCCTTAACAAACCAATTATTAGCTCGAGCGCATTTCGAGTTCGGCTCGATAAGGCTCGAAAAGAGAATTTTTATATAATTTTTTATAGCTTGGTTCGAGCTGGAACTCAGCTCGTTTACAGGCCTAGTTCAAACACAACCAAAAGGTAAAATAGAGCTATTCAAAAGGTTCTTGTGCCTTATTAGCTATCGGGGACCCTAGAGATCTATTTAAGGGCATCCTCAACCTTTAATCCAACTTCATGATACAACGAGTTTTTTTCTTTATTAACCGTGATTAAATTTTGGCAAGGTTGGTGTAGTTAGCTGTTAGCGAGATTTTGAGTTTATATTAAAATAATAATTAAAATAAGAAATATGATATGAAATGATGGTTAGTTAAAATTACGTAGAGTGGATGAATAGTAAATTAAAATTGGTGTGATATGTAAGAATAGTTGATTGGTATTATTTAAATATATTAATAATATTGAAAACAGTGAAATTAAGTTAAATTTTCTATACAAATTGAAAAAATTTATAAACGACATATCACCCCCACATGAGTAACTAAAACCAAACTAAAAAGAAAGCGACAACAAATAATTAAAGCCTTTCAATGATCACTGTATGTTAAAAGAGCTCCCTAACGCCTCCCGAGACTCCCGTTCTTTATAAACCCACCCATGCAAAGACAAGTCTTAACTTGTAATCAAAAAAGAAGCTGAACCACATCTCTCTCTCTCAAAAAAAAAATAAAAAAATAAAAAAATAAAAAAAATCAAATGGTCTCCCTAAAAATCCATCAACTGTCATCGAATTCCATAACCGAGCAACCCTTGAGCCCACGAACCTCCTTCTCATCCGAATTTTTCAACGAGCGCGACTTCATCTCGATATGCCCCAACCCAATGTGGGACGAAGCCTATTCCGAATGGGACATGATAGAGTTTGAGTTCCCAAGCGCGGGCCAACTCTTCCACAAGCCCAAGCCCAAGCCCAAGCCCATGGATGGCTCAGGTAAGCCCACAAGGGAGATTATAAACTGGCTTCCGGAAGATGACCCGTCCCCGAGGCCACCAAAATGCACCATCCTTTGGAAGGAACTATTTAATTTGAAAAAATCGCGCGCCACGTCAGCGGCGGCTTTTTCCGCCATGTCATCATCCTCGTTTTCTAAATCCTTGTCTTCAGCTCCCAGAGCTTCACTGAGTGATGCTAATATTAATAAAGACAAGTCTAAGGTTATTAAGAGGAATAAGGAGAAGAAAGGAAAGGAGAGAATGAGTATAAGGATAAGGCCGGTGCTTAACGTGCCGATTTGCAGTCAGGCGAAGAGCGTTGCGTTTTCTCCCGTTTTTCCGGTGAGGAAAGGTAGATTAGAGAGGTAAGGTGAAGAAGAAGAAGAACTGAAGACAATAATGTGGATTTTTTTGCCTTTTTTTTCTTTTCTTTTTTTTTTCTTGGTCCAAATTTATGTTTGTTTGGAATTAATGTGTTTATGGATTATGTTGATGTTGAGACTCGATCTATTGAATTATTATGTTGTCAAGGCTGGTTATGAAAATGGCATGTGATCAGGTTTTGTCGAATTTTATATTTTTAAAAATGAACATAAAACTATGTATATGGAGAACAACATCATTTTTTCTTTCTAAAATACAATTTACAAGTATTGTTGTATTCGCCTAATTTACGCTGAAATATTAGAAATCTAAAAAGTTAAGTACTTACTTAAAAAATAAAAAATAAAATAAATTGGTAATAAGGGCAAACCCTAGAAATTAATATTATCCATTAATCAATATCCTATAGCTTGAAAACACAATCCTTTATGCTGTTACTTTTAACTTTGTGTCGAGGGAGAGATATTGGGAAGCATGATCCAGATATTAGGGAACCCCTTTTGGTTTTTTTTTAGGTCTTAATTAAGACAATCATAGACAAGGGAATCTGTGTAGGTCATTTATATTTGAGTGTTAAAAAAGCAAATTATAAATTCCTTGGCTAATTACCTTAGTTAATATCGTAATTACCCATTTACCCTATCTAATTTTACCATTTCTTTTTACTGTTCCTAATAGAAGCACATTAGGATTTACTATTACCATTTTCATATAGCTAGTTTTAGAAGTTGCACATTTTTAACACATCAACATTAATGAATGCAATGTTAATCAACCAGTCAACTAAAATTTTGGCTCAAATCATTTCTCTAATCCATTAATTCAACAAGAAATTATTTATTTTAGTGGACCAATTAATTTGATATGATAGCAACAAAAATTTAACTAAATATAAAACTAATTGATGAGTTATCATATTCAACAGTGTTCGATATTAAAAAGCTGACTCAACATTGTCAACATATAATTATATAAGCTTTCAAAAACTTGAGGGAAAATTTCAAAACTCCCACAAGTTAAGGGGGTGTCATTTTTTGTCCCGAAAGATATTCATAATCTTGTCTTAGGTTTACTTAATAATATATATATTCATTAATATGTATATAATAATTTATATAACGAAAAAAGGGCATAACAATATAAAAAATAGAAAAAATTTCAAAATTAGCCCAACAGGTTTAGTACCATGCCAAGTGTGATGACTGTTGCCAGCGTGTGAAGAAAAAAATGCCACTTTTGCGCCATATGATTTTTCGGGCCTGCATCAAAAGTCCTATTTTTTTTTTTACTTTTTAAAAATTGTGTGACAATTTGAGATCTGCACTTTCTTTGCAGACCAAAAATTGTCCACACTCAACTTGTGGGACTAGTTTTAAATTTTTCTATCTATATATATACACACATAACATATGTAACATAAATAATTATATAGATGACTGTGATATTTGTTTAGTTTCGCTGTTTGTTTCTTTTTTTGTGCTGATAAAGTTTTAACAGATACAAATCGGACTAGATGATTTGTATTTTATCATTGTACCCTCGTTGTATAATGATCGAACTTGTTATTTAAAAAATTACACTAAGTTGATAAAAAAAATATTAAAAAATAATTTTTCTTACTATAGGAAAACTTGGAATTGCCAAAGATTAGATTAAAATTACCCCGTGTCGTGGCCTACATGGAGGGTAGTGAAAAAGCAAGACGAAGTATTTTTCATAATATTAATATAAATTTAATATACACATATTACTTTATAGTATTATATTCTAATAAAATTTTAGGTAATATTAAATTTGTAGTTTGATTTGTAAAATAACTTTCAATCTCATTTTTCATTTTTCAATTAGAATAAATTATAAGAAATGTAAATTTATACCAGCCGATATTATTATTATTATTATTATTATTATTATTATTATTATTATTATTATTATTATTATTATTCGTTTCACGTATATCATATGAATATTAAATAAAAATTTGATTAGTTTACAATAAACTTGCATTGGTCAAAACTCAAAATATGTAATATAGATTGTTTAATCATTATTAATGATATATTGCATCTTGGAAAGCTAAAATTTAGTTTGTTCTGTTAAAAATTTTGAGGCAACCCTAAAATACCCAAAAGGTTCAATGCTCCGGTGCAGCATTAACTAATTTTACTGATATGAGCTTTCATAATTGTTGGTGGCATTAAAGCCATGTAACTGAACGTCGCTCCTGCGGAGGGCAGAGGTTTGCGTGGCTTTTAATGTCATAGTTTCAGTCAAACATGAATTTACGAAAAATGGATGAACAGGAAAACTCGGACCGCAGATTTAAATGCTTCTAAAAGCTCAATAATGCATGTATTCACAATTTAAAATTTGTTGGTGGAAATCTAAGTACGGGAGTTGGGGTGTCTTGTCAATTGGGTCGTGTTCACAGTTCAACCAAACGCATGTTGTTTCTCTTAAAGACGTCATCTTTTTTTTTTATGTCATTTATTTTGAAAATAATTAATATTTTGTATTAATCAAATTTATTGGCTGCAACGACACCCTTTCTAAGAATGGATAGCTTTAAGAACTAAAACCCATCTTTAAGCCTTTTGTTACCATTGCAAGTGGAAGGTTAAGCATGAGTAGTAAATATTGAAATTTAATTTACCAACCTAACTTCATTGTAATCTTGCGGGCATGAAATTTTTTTCACGTTTGAAAATGAGAAATACTAAATAAAAGAATGAATA